TTTTTATAAATAGAATAGTTTTAAATAATTAACGCAGAATAGAAATGCTGTGTGTTATAATATATTTATAGTAAAACTAGAAGACCCGGCGAACTTCGTTTCGCCCTATAATCAAGAAATATCTGTTACGTTTTTTTATTTATATTTTTGGAGTTTACCTATTAAAGCCATAAATCTCCGTGTTTTGAAGTGATTAGGAATGATTAATAGTTAATATGAGAGTTACACTGAGCTAGCAAAATAATAATTGTCAACGTTACTACTACACTTGATGCACAAACAATAACGATGGCCGACAACTGTGTAGGGAGTGAGAGAAGTCTAATTGTGTGAGAGAAACAGAAGACCGGCTTCGTTCTCATCCCTACTCCGTGCTGTTTACTGGGTCAGAAGTGACACCTGTAGATATCTGGCGGGGATAACTTATTAAATGACGATTGATCAGTTATCGACCGGAGATGAAAAATGATTAAATTACTAAAATAGCTATTAAAAAATAAGGGTTGATCGTAGAAGGGTGAAAATTTAGGATTGTATGTATTTTTGTACGTTGTATCATAAAAAAATAGTAATTAAAAATTTTGTCTAAAAAATAAAAAAAAAAAATTTAGGGGTGGACTACCCCTAACATTTAGGGGGATGAAAAATAGATGTTGGCCGATTCTCATAGCTACCGAATAAGCACAAAAAATTTCATCAAAATCGGTCAGGTTGTTTCGGAGGAGTATGGGCACGAAAACTGTGACACGAGAATTTTATATATTAGATAAAAGCTTCAAAAATATTATAACTGCTTATTATTATTTCAATTAATATTACCGTAAATTGTTCTCTTGATAGTTATCTTCTATTTAAATAAATATTTTTTAATTTAAAACTTTTCTCAAAAACTATCCGAGATATCTTAAACCGTATAGGTACCTATGATCCGGTGGACTTCGTACCGCCCTATAATCAAGAAATATCTGTTAAATTTTACCTCAATGAAGTTAATTTCTTTATAATTATGTACAGCTGACTCGAAAGACAATGATCTGTCTTCTTCTTATATATTATATGTTTAAATTAATACTACATATAATAGTAAGTATATCTGTTGGCGCAAGCGCCTGTTAAAATTGTGAAGCAATTTAGTATATGGAGGTTACGGAACGATTTAAATGTAAGGCGCTTTGTTTATTGTAATTTTAATTTTTACTTACCCCGTCATAAAAATATGTAACACAATAAAATTATCATTGCAACTAATCTACGCCTTTTAATATCTCCTCGTTAAATACAATCAAAATCCGCAACAATATCTAACAAAATTAAGTTCCTATTCCCTCTTGTGATAATAGTCAGTATAAATAGTGTTTAACTACGGGTTTTGCACAAAAAAAAGAAATCAAGCCTTATTATAAAATACATTAAAAAATATTTTTGTTTGTTTATAACGTTAAAAGTTTCAAATTATACGAAGTGCGGTTCACGTCGTAACAGAAGTTGAAGAAAAATTACGAAACTCACTAAGACATGGAATAACAAATGCAGAACTAAACTTAGATCCTATATCTAAGAGTACATAATTTTCCCGAAGTTTCTTAAAAATATCACGTTTTTTGTTTTATTTTATTAATTTTTGATACACACGAACACGCGTTTGTTTCGTAGAGTAAGCAGCGCTCTAAATGCTAACCCGGAACTCTTAAAATTTTAATATGTGTTTCGCATACTTGATAAATTATGAAATATAAATGAATTCTTTTTTATTATTTTCAGAATTTGCAGTGTTGTTGTTAATGCACCATGAGATATATTTTGTTGGAAATGTGTAATAAATTAAATAATGATTTTATGAAAAACATTATTTTTTTTGTTTAAGAAAAGGTATGTAAGGAACTACGTGTATGTATATATAGGTATATCTTATTTTACAATGATTGTATTTCATAAATGTATTTGACATTTTCCCATTATAACCACACCTTAATATCTTGTACATCAATTTGATAATAACTTTATTTGAAAAGGGTTTCATAGCAAGTGACACGTAGATGTGGAATCATCCCATGGCAACCCTTTGAACTTACGGACTATCGCCTTTACAAGGTAAATGTATAAGACAATATATCTGTCGATTTAGTGAAGTATAATAATTAATAACTAATGTCTTTGATCGAGTGTTAAATGAAATAGATATAATATATAGGCACGTACCTACCTATACTTCACTTTGATGTGATCGATCAGTGACTCCTGTTTTCTGGAAATGTTTTATTTGTTATTATTGAATATTATATTTTAGTATATTTAAATTTAACATCAAGTTTACTAGAATATTTAAAAGAGTTCATTGAATCTCGATAGCTTTTAAAATTCAAATCACTAAAAGTAGAAAAATTCTATGAAATAAATGTTCTTTCTCAGATACGTGTCTTCTTGGTGTCACATAAAGGAGTTCGAAAGTATTGCATACAATTCTGTGCCCACAATGTAAAAACATGAAAACAGTATCAATTAAAAGGTTCAAAATTAAGAGTTTCTTCATTGAAAATTCTATAGAAATTGGCAATCAGATAGCTGTGTTATTGAAGGTTCAGTAAAAGTCAGGTTATATTGCATTATCTTTAAGAGTTAGATGAATACACTTAAAAGTATGTGAAAAATAATAATTTTATTTAGAAGAGAATATATAACAAGGCAAGAAAGACTCAAAGACATACAAATATCGTTAACAAGTATGAAATTTTACGAGGAACAGGAGGAGTGAACTACTTATGTGATAAAAGTCATAAAATAAAACAAATAATTTTAATGGAATATTATGTATTTTATTCCTCTTCAGTAATAATTAAAATATCGTTTAGGAACTGTGCAAGTTACTAGTTGCTATCCCACAATTCACACAGCGATCAATCGTTTCAGTAATATTCAATCCATAAGCCGGCGAAATAATCCAAATTAACAATTCCAAGTCAAACGTGCAGGCGATCGTCGGTGTCCAATCTGAAAGCAAGGGTCGTAAAACGTTAGGCGGGTTCAGAGTCCGTAAAAAACAAAGCAGTGGTCGTTGAAAACGTAAAACGATCGGGAAAGCACTCGAAACACATCGAAAAAACACGAAACAAGACAGACTCAGATAACAATGCATCTGGCATGGTAATTGTTAAGTGTCAATGTTATGTTGCCATAGACTATACACTGAATGATTTCGATCGATATGGAATCTATAATCGAAAAGGATGTTTTAAAATAATATTTAATATTATTATTATATTAATACACCACCTTATTGAAAGTTATTTTTATTGAATTGTAGACATATATGGTGTAGTTTAAATGAAGTTACTATAAGTTGAAAACTACGAGTGAAGTTTTTATTTTAAGTAAATAATCGAATAATCATTTTTATTTAATTAAACGTTAATCGATTGCTTCATAAAAACAGTTATTTGCATATTTCTCCGCTTATATATTGAGAATATATGCAGATTTTTGGTATTTCATACAAAAAAAATTAAATCAATTTTGAACTCATAACATTTTGGGCAAACCAGTTTCCATCTAATTTAATTATATTTGTTCAATTATTGCTTATAACTTATTTAATATTTTTCTTTCTTGCGTCGGACAATCTTCTTATTAAATTGTATATGTATATCGAGGATGTGCACTCCGTCTATTGTTCTCGTCGTCCAGGCCCGCGCACCTCTAGCCCCGCTGGCCCCCGCTAGTCGCCGCTGGCCAGCTGAGTGAGCACTGCGCCTCAGTGTTGCTAGATGGAGGCTATCTCCCTTACCGAGCTGCTATATTATTTTATGCGCTGGCTAAAGGTAGCCAACTTGGCTATATATATTTTTTCAGATATATTTAATTAACAAATCATTTATATGCAGAAAAAAAAAAGAATTTCAACACTCAACACTCAGTTTCAATAAGTTTTATGTATATGGTATAGCATGGATTTTAAAACGTTAACTCTCTCTGTACATATAGGTACATAATTTTATATCAAATCCTAGTGGCTTCACTACTAATGTGGGTTCGATGGTATGTTATTGTGTACTGGAAAAGGACCGGCTTACCTTTGTTCCTGTTGATTGTAATTTTTAATTTAATTTTGATTGTAATTATCTTATCGTATTCTTACAAAATAAGAAAATGGGTACTTATTACTTCTAAATTAAGTACTTTAACCTATTTTAGTATGTTAATTTTTTTTTAATCAGTTCTATCAAAGGTTTATCTATTTAAAAATATGTAATACATATTTAAAGAATATTTAAATACTCTTATTTTAAAGTAATTATTACGATAATATTTTATAAACTTAATTATTTAATAATACTTTTTAAAACAAAATGCAATTAATAAAAAGAAAAAAATCTTGATTCGAAAAAAAAATTCTGGTAACACTGCTACGCCTGTCACGACAGTGACAGTCGGTCAGTCCACATAGTCTTTAGCTGTGTGACGCTTGTCCGTCATCGCTACGGCGACACTCGCACGCGTACAATCGCTTACGAAAAGTAATCTCCTTCTGTATTAATGGCTTTTAAGTAGTTTAAATTGTTAAACCGTAATTCGCTAAACACATAATACCATTTGTGTTATATATTGTATATCTTAATAATATCTTTAATTGTTATAAGTATATTATAATTAGTCTGCCGACTTTATTAGTTTAATATCTCCGAAAAAGACTTACTGACTTGACGAAGGTAAAATTTACAATAAAATTATTATTTATTATTCGTTTGTAAAATGAGGTATATCTAATTATAATATTTCTTAGTAAGTATACATTCGTATTAAAAAAAGAAGATAGTAATATTAATTATTACTTAAAATAATGAATTCCAAAGATTTATCTTGCAAGGATACACTTTTGTAGTATTATATATATGTATATAGATAGATACAAAAGTTATGTCCGTTTTATTATTGTCAATAGGAAATATTTTATTTCATTTCATTTGTTATTTTCTATAATATAATAAATTGTCTAGTGGTTCGACATGGAAATCGAGCAAGGCATACGTCAACGACGAACTGGCGGCAAGCTGCGAACAGACGGCAAGGAAGTGGACGACCGGTCTAACAAGGGGATAAAACAGAGATTTGAGGTAAAGAAGAAGTCATTGTTAAGTGATACTTTACAGAAGACACTGGAATGAAATTTGCGATAGATAGAAATAATAAAGATGAAAAACAATACTTGGAGAAGGTCAGTGTCTAAAATCTAAGTTATTAAATGTTTAATAGACCAATTCATACTTATTTCTTTTCAGTTTAATAATTAGCGATTGTTAAATAGATATAAGTTATAGTATAGAATAAAGGTCTTGTATTCTTCACAGGAGCTTCTTGCCCCTTCAACACATTTTACAGAATTTAACGAAGTATTCCTTCTTGGCAAAATAACATGGTCTTTCAATTACCGGTACAAAGTTCCCGATGATTTATTAAAAAAAGTTCAAGACGCTTGAGTGAAAATTATCACTGAATTTTTTTTGTTAGTGTCTACCAAATTTTTTGATAGTAGTACAAATGGTTCGTAGTACAAATCTACTACGAACCTATTTCGAGTGAGTTCGTTTGTGAGCTCGTAATATTTGTTGACCTTGACGGTATGGTCTTTGGGGATGTTGGTACATACCTACTACATATTTTTTAATGTAACGAAGAATTTGCAGAAAAAACTTAAAATATAAATTGTAGAACGAAATCCTTTCATAAAGTGTAGTTGAAAACTGTAAAAAAGATTGATACAGTAATGTAGACTATGTATAGTAAGTTAGTGAATAAGATATATTTTTTTACAGAAAGTCATTGGATTCGCAGATCAAATACACGAAATGTGGCAGGGACAAGGCACTGAGATTTATTGGGAGCAAAACTTCACTTGACCCACTGAGGATCAATATAAAAAGATGACACATACAAGTAATCTATAACTTATACATTTTTCTAACCTCTACGTTTTAACAAATCTGTCCTATATAAATATTGTTACCATCAAATGAACGAATATCTCACTGATAATATTATAGATTAAACAGACTTTATATTTCCAACAAATTTAAATTTATCATAACAGTTTTAGAGAAATTTAATTTAAATGTGAATGTTTTTCCAATGAATGATGATCATTATATTTTCTTCGAAAAAAATATTATATCATATTCATTATGTGTATTCCAGTTAAACAGCAATGGCAGTTTCTGTGAAGATTTATCAGAAGGAAAGTTCACGTTATCCATCATACACGCATCCAAAACATCAGTGGGAAGCGAAGTTTTACGTGAGTACACTAAACCTCAGTTACTATTTGTATACATACGAGAACGTATTTGTGTGGGTCAAACATAGTAGTTTTTACTGTAACTCTTCGATATATACGGAATCATTATCTCTACTAATATTATAAATGCGAAAGTAACTCTGTCTGTCTGTCTATCTGTCTGTTACGCTTTCACGCCTAAACCACTGAACTGATTTTACTGACATTTGGTACAGACATAGAGTTGACCTTGAGAAAGAATATAGAATAGTTTTTATCCCAGAATTTTGAAAGGTTCTTTTGGAAACGCGATATAACCGAACTCCACGCGGGCGAAGCTGCGGGCGGAGAGCTAGTTCTTCATAATTGCATAAGGTTATTTCAAAAACTTGATGAGTTACATATCAATTTAAAATTTAGAGTTTTGAGAACTTCGTGTGATTTTTTACTCGTTTCATGAGATCAGGTCCGTTTACGAAGTTGCTTCCTTGATCCTCTGTTTCTAATACTTTATTGATGTTAATTTTTCTCATCGTTTTTGGTGTTTGGCAAATGAGTATAAACCTATCTGATAATCCAGTGATAGTAAAGTATTTCGTAATCATATTTTTATCACTTATCAGGTATCATAGGACAGCGTACTCGTGATATTGACTTGAAGAAGTACTTACTGTATGTGTTTGTTGTAGAAGGCGGGCAGCATACATTACACGAGAAACAGACTCAGTGAACTTGATCGAGAAGCTCGGGCTGAGGTGAATCAAGTACATACATATAGTATTCATTGAAGTGTGATTGTTTTAAATTGAAGTATACAACCTCGGTTTCTTACAGGTCGCCCGTTTAGGAGGAAACTACCACTACTGGAAAAATGTTTGAATGATCTCAGTAGCTGGAAGGATGACGTAATTATCAAATAATTATTACACTATTATCTTACACGGGACACTATTAGCCAATAATATTTAAAAGGTGTGGGGTAAAAAGACTCGCAAGTCTTCAAATGTATTTTTGTTACATTGTTTATCCGATATTATAAGAATATAAAAGCATTTTTTGTGTTTTTACTATTTCAACAAATTATTTTAATTTATTTACGCTTTATAGATGTACAAGGTTACAATTCTCCATAAATTTCCTATATAACAAGATCCTTCCCAATTTATAAAATATAATTTATGAACGTTCTTGTCACAATAATCAAAGTGGACTAAACATATATTCCTTTCTTTTATTTACAGAAAAAAATAAATAATGTAAGTACATATGTAATTGTGCGATGTTTCTTACAGTCATTAAAAATTAATGAGAAAAATAACCACATGAATAAGTGATTAAGTGGTTAAAGTTTTGTTAACTTAGAAAATATACAAGGGCTGTTATATACAAGATAAGAAATTAATCCAATTAATTTAACAATTAATTCGAACATTTAACTTTTGTTAACAAAGTCCATCATTTTTAAATATGTACTATTATATTAACAATAGAGATAATATTACTATTTTATGACTGAAATTTATATAAAGTAATGGCATAGTACCTATTTCATCAACCTCAAGTCTGAGTATAAATGACAATAAAAAGGTAATCTTTTGTTTCAAATAAGAATTAATTCTCTTTCTATTCTGATGTGTTTTATGTTAGTATCAATGAGGATTGTATATTTGATCCCACAAATAGTATTTAAATGTATTTTCACATTTATCCGTACCTACATTATGAGTTCACATTTGAATGATAGCATGACTCAAACTCAAATAATTTTATTCAATATAGAAGCATTACACTTCCTTATTGATGGTTACTTGACACACTACCACCTATGAGACAGCTGAGGTATCATGTTTTGCAGTTTTATAATAGTAGGTAACGTTAGAAATTCTTGTTCATTCTTCTCAAAGGTATAGATTCAAAAATGTTGGAGAAGATATCACACAGACTGACCATACTGACATTGAAATGTAACTTAACAATTCAAAGGAATATGTAATAGTCTGTTTGAAAACAACCCATTTTATTTGTATATCATAAATCGCCTAGTGAATTTACATTTATCACCATAAATTAATTAAAACATACATATTATATTTACAAATTATATAAGAAATATTTAAAAAATATATATTTTTAGATAACAATTTAATTACGTGCTTCCCTTATAATATTCTTAAATATTTATCATAATTACGTTTAATTTCATTGAAGATTTTGTTTGTCAAATTTATTTTCATATTTTCAAGCGTTTTGACATTAATTCACAGCATTGAAGATAAAAACATTCTTTTGTCTTATAAAAGAGATTTTATTCAGTAATTATGAATTATACCACAGGTAATGAAACCGTATTGACTAGGAGGTATATCTGTCAATAAGCTCAGCGGTGTAATAAAAAAACTATAAAGTTTAAAAAAACCCACTGTAAAATAAAGCTGACTGGGAACAATATTTTAGAATTAAAAATCAGAGACAGAGATTAGAAACTAAATATATAAAATATAAAATGAAGATTCCCCTGAGCATTTTCTGTCCGCCTATACTATACATTTTAATTTAATTTTATATCATAATAGTAGATAAACCTTTATAATCTGAAGTGGTCACCCTAAATATGATGTCGTTGGAATTTTAGCTCCATCGGGACCTTTATACATACATATGTATATAGCAAGATATAATGACGACCTTCAATATGGAATTGAGTGAGGGACTGACACGAACATCCTTTAGGATAGTCTTAGCTGATCTACTCTAGTTAAGGTTTTAAATTATTAGGCTTAGTATAGTTTCAATAGGTATACAAATTATTAAACTCAACATGTAAAACTATTGGGAAAAAGTCACTACCGGGTTTCGATAATGAAACATAAAACTTAACAACCTGTAAAGAGGAATGAAATTTAAATTGATTAAAAATGTTACCAATATTAATCAGTTAAATATAAATTAAAAGCGAAATTCAATTTCATGAACAGGAATCACATTCCATCAACATTTCTCTAAATCATAATGTTCATCATACATGACTGACATACGAAAGCATCTCTGATACTTAATGTATGTATTTAATTACAAAGTAACTTTTGCATCGTTTCATAATTTGTGTATACAACTTTCCTTGAATTTACCTTGAACCATCTTAAAATAAGAACGTTCATACCTGTCCTTTTACTAAATTATGAAAACGTAAGTCAATCCCATCTCTGACTACGTATAAATTAATTTAATTCTTCTTAAATTGCTTTTCATAATGATGTAAGTCATTTTTGGTCACCAATTATTCGATTGAACGCCTCACATGGGCTAGTAAATCTTTGAATGTAATTCATTTATTTTAATTAATTTAATCCATTGAGGTTTTTTTACCTAATAAAATATTTAATAAATCATTGCAACTTATCGACACAATGTTATTTATGGTCACTTGTGAATCATTCGATGTGGAAAAGCTCGCCTATTATGGTTTAGAACCCCCAAAAATACATTCCTTAAAGTTTTTAACAAAGAAAAGTTAATGTAAATATTTGTTATAATAACTCAGACATGAAAATAGGTCAAGAGAATGTGAATGCATAATAAATAAAATAAAACTCTTCATTTTATAGATAACCAAATGTTAAGTAAGAAATTAAGCATATATTTTTTATTATCTCAAATACATACTTTGTTGTATGTTTGACGTATATGCGACTTTACATTTGGTCGATTATTTCGTTAAACCAGTTTATTTAATATACACATGTACACTTATTACGTTAATTATTTAGCACTGGCAAAACTTTTAGTTTTCATAATTCACTTGAACACTTCTCATTTTCATAATTCACTAAACTTTTGTTGACTATTGTTTCAAACAAACTAAGTTCACACTAGCGTATTTTAATGCTCATGGCTACATGTATCCACTCATTGATTAGTTCTAGATAGTATAAATAGGAAGAAATGACAGCTATCTGTCTTTTCTTTTAAGTCTGTCTCTATGTGTTGGTGTATGTACTTCATTTGAGATTCTTTCCCGAGGGTGACTATTAAACCTATCCTAGCCTCTTCGAGCTCTTCCGTTCGGGACCTTCAGAAAATATCACCTTCTCTAGTGCTTCGATTAACCAATTATGTGTCTAAAATACATATATTGTGTTTCTCTATATTTACTTTACGTATATAGATTTCAATTAGTTTTAAGTTGTGTATTAAGCATTGTATATA